GCATGGATCCGGTGGAATCGTTTGTGGTAGGGGTTGTGGCGGGGGGGGGCGGGGCGGGGGGACGGCGTGGGCGGTTCCCCCAGACGCGGTCTATGTCGGAAGACACTCTCACACCCACACCCATACATCAGGCACAACATTTTCATTAATCGATAACGATACATTTGTACGTTGAATAAGTAAATTCATTAAACCAATTTCATTGTTTTATTTCAGGCATTTGTTTTAAAATTTCTTTTGTTACTAAATAAAAACCACTTGTTGTGCCAATAATGTTAGAACTTTTTGATAGAATTTTATCTAGAAATTAAAGATAAACTTATAGAATTTCACCTAGAAAATAAAATCTTCTTCATACCCGCATCCAGATGATCATAGGAGTTAAATATAACTGATTTATCAAAAAAAATTTTTTATCATTGTTGAAATACCATTCATAAATCATTAAAGCAGTTTACAAAACTCTTCGATCAGTAAGAACACGTACAATAGAACTGAAAGCACTAACTGCAAGAACTTTTAATAAAATAAATAAAAAATTTTATGTTTTTCGAAATATACTAAAAAAATATCTTTTTCGTGACATAATAATAAAGCATTACTTGAATAATCTTTTGGATTTCCAAAATTTTTGTGAACATATTTCGTTAATGTATCACGTAATAGTACAGGTATGAATTGGCAACATCTGGAATTTCAGTTGGTTTTATTTTCATGATTGTTAATAATGTGATATGAACTGCTTTTTTTCTATAAAAAATATATTTATTTCATGAAAATTATTTGTATTATCAATTGAATTATAAAAAACTGAGAAGCATTTTATTTTGAAATAGATTTTTCATGACTAAAATGATTTTTTCCACCCCAAAATAGATTTATACTCTTTTCAGTATTTCACATTTCCTAATCAAGAGATTCTGCACTAAAATGAAAACAAAATGAATCAATCGATAGAGAATTTCACGTTCTGTCAGTTTCTAAAACACGTTTTTGTTCTTGATGCTGATCTTTTTCTCCAAAAACATGATTTTATTGGAATAGGCGAAACCATTTCCAACAAGAGTTTTCGAAAATAAAAATCATTGTTAGTTTTCCATGAATAGAATCTCTGAAAATTCAAAGCCTAAGTTTCTTAACTTTTGAAATTCACAAATAGAATTCTGTTTAAATTACCCAGTATGATAGAACAAATAATTGTGTACAG